ATATAATGGACGTAACAATGGTCATTTCTTTGCTACAACCAGCCCCTGAAACTTATAATCTATTTGATGATATCATTCTACTTTCAGAAGGTCAAATTGTGTATCAAGGTCCGAGAGAAAAAGTTCTTGAMTTCTTTGAATTTATGGGCTTCAAATGCCCAGAAAGGAAAGGAGTTGCTGATTTCTTACAGGAAGTGACATCARAAAAGGACCAAGAACAATATTGGTATAGAAAGAACCACCCATATAGATTCATTTCAGTTCCTGAATTTTTGCWGGGATTCAAYTCTTTTTCCATTGGTCAACAGCTTGCCTCTRATCTTGAACTGCCTTWYGACAAATCCAAAGCCCACCCAGCTGCATTAGTCACAGAGAAATATGGTTTATCAAATTGGGAGCTCTTCAAGGCATGTTACTCAAGAGAGGTTTTGCTAATGAAGAGAAAYGCTTTCATCTATGTGTTCAAGACTGTTCAGATTACCATTATGTCCATCATTGCAATGACTGTGTTCCTAAGGACTGAAATGAAAGTGGGCACTGTACTCGACGGAAGCAAGTTCTTTGGAGCCTTGTTTTTCAGCCTCGTGAATTTCATGTTTAATGGAATGGCAGAATTGGCTCTCACTCTTTTCAGGCTYCCAGTGTTCTTTAAGCAGAGAGATTTCTTGTTCTATCCAGCTTGGGCATTCAGTTTGCCAATTTGGCTCATTAGAATTCCTCTATCTCTCACAGAATCAGGGATATGGATTCTTTTAASTTATTACACAATTGGGTTTGCTCCTGCTCCTAGTAGGTATACATCTTTTCTTTCTTTTCTCTTTTTCATTTGTTAATAAAGTAAACTTTACCGTATTGTTTATCTATTTTCTAGGTTCTTTAAGCAGTTTCTGGCATTCTTTGCCCTGCATCAAACATCTCTGTCACTATTTCGCCTTATGGCTGCAGTTGGAAGAACACTGGTTCTTGCAAATACTTTGGGCACATTTGCTCTTTTCATAGTTTTCTTGCTTGGAGGTTTCATTATTGACAAAGGTAAGTGATTGTTCTCCTTTCTTTGTCACTAGMATGTAACTTTACAACATTGTACTTCTAGTAGACAAAAATATTTTGTTTACTGAAATTTGATTTTCCTTTTATACACAGATAACATTGGGCCTTGGATGATTTGGGGCTTTTATGCTTCTCCCATGATGTATGGACAAAATGCCATTGTCATTAATGAGTTCCTTGACAAAAGATGGAGCAAGGTAAATCTTAGCTAGAATAATGATCGCGGATCTTCAAGTGGGAAATGATATTAATTTTAGTTGTTTGTTCTTTTTCCATCATAGTAACTCAAAGCATACTTGCCTAATGCAGAAAAATACAGACCATAGAATTAATGAACCWACGGTTGGAAAAGTGCTCCTTGATAGTAGGGGTTTCTTTAAGGAAGAACGTTGGTACTGGATTTGCATTGCAGCACTTTTCGGCTATAATCTTCTCTTCAACRTTCTATTTACAATAGCTCTGACTTATTTGAATCGTAAATAATCTCACCCTTCGGTATATTTATATTAAAGAGTTTAATTCTATTTTTCATTGAAATTAGTATTATTGTTATTGTATTGATTCTTTGAAGCTATTTTCAGTTCCTACTGATTCAAAGGCTCTCATTAGCACCAATGAAGACCAGAAGAAAAGGAAAAATAATAGGTCCACTACACAACAAAAATTAGAAGGTTGTGTTTTGAAGGAAGAATTTGCATAATCAAGTTTCTTGTGGACTTGTATAATAATATTTTGTTTAATTAAAGGTTTGATGTTTTTGGAAAAAAAAATTCATAGGCATTGACGATGAAGTCATCAAGTGTTCAGAAATAGAAGTTGCTTCAGACCCTGTGCAAAGGAAAGGAATGGTTTTGCCTTTCCAGCCTCTTTCACTAGCATTCAACCATGTCAACTATTATGTGGATATGCCTATGACTGTAAGTTAACTTAACTGAAGTTTCTAAGTTTTTGTATGGATGTTGTCATAAAGCCACATTGAAACTACTTGATCACTAAATCTCAATGTCTTCCAAATTAGGAAATGAAGATGCATGGTGTCGAGGAAGGTCGTCTTCAACTTCTAGGAGATGTTAGTGGAGCATTTCGACCAGGGATATTAACAGCACTTGTGGGTGTTAGTGGTGCTGGGAAAACTACTCTTATGGATGTGYTAGCTGGGAGAAAGACTAGTGGTTATATCGAAGGAAATATATGCATCTCTGGTTATCCAAAGAAGCAATCAACCTTTGCTCGAGTAAGTGGTTATTGTGAACAAAATGACATTCATTCGCCTCATGTTACTATCTACGAGTCTCTCCTGTTTTCTGCYTGGCTCCGTCTTTCCTCAAATGTGGATGTCAAAACAAGAAAGGTATATTTTTTCAAGCACTCTTTTTGTTTTGAACGATCACAACTAGAAACTTTTTCAGCTCCATGTTTTCAGTAGGGACAAAATGTGGTTGAACTTTTATTGAAGGACTTGTGATCATTCATGTAGATGTTTGTAGAAGAAGTAATGAAACTGATTGAACTTGATACATTGAGAGATGCTYTAGTGGGGCTTCCAGGTGTAGATGGCCTTTCAACAGAACAAAGGAAGAGATTGACAATAGCAGTTGAGTTGGTTGCTAATCCTTCTATCATCTTCATGGACGAACCAACTTCTGGTCTCGATGCTAGATCTGCTGCCATTGTTATGCGTACGGTGAGAAATACTGTTGATACTGGGAGAACTGTTGTATGCACAATTCACCAGCCAAGCATAGACATTTTTGAAACTTTTGATGAGGTATCGTTGAACCATCTCTAAATGGTTATGTTTGATTGTTGCTACASYGTTCTTAATTCTTTGAATTTCAAYGCTTAATGTAGTTACTGCTCATGAAACATGGTGGRCGAATGATTTATGCYGGACCTCTTGGTCAGCGATCTTGCAAACTCATTGAATATTTTGAGGTGAGYATATTTATTTTGGTTGTTATATGTGTGCGTGTGTTTTTCTTCTTYTTTTCATTTTCTACCCAAGTGTTKGATGTGGTGACTATTTAATGACAGGCCATTCCAGGGATTCCAAAGATTGAAGACGRTCAGAATCCTGCTACATGGATGCTTGAGGTTACTRCACCTCCAGTGGAGGCTCAACTAGATATCGATTTYGCTGATACTTTTGCTAAATCTCCAGTTTATCAGTATGTACGGTCGTGCCTTAAGWTMAAAAGCTTGAATTTRTATCATTTTTCTTGACACTGTAATTTTTGTTTCAGGAGGAACCAAGAACTTATARTGGATCTTTGTACTCCAGCTCCAGGGTCTAAAGACCTACACTTCCCAACCGAATACTCACAATCGTTTTTCTYTCAGTGCAAAGCTTGCTTCTGGAAACAACATTGCTCTTACTGGAGACACGCTCAATACAATGCCATACGCTTCTTCATTACAATTGTTATTGGTATCTTATTTGGTCTAATTTTCTGGAACAAGGGACAAAARTTGTAAGGCTTTACTGGCCTCYGTAATTATTTGTACYTGAYTTCACGTYYTATGGTTWTGATGTTTTGTTTYTGYTCTGTATTTAACAGAGCCAAGGAACAAGATGTGTTGAATATTATGGGCGCTATATATGCTGCTGTCCTTTTCCTTGGAGCTACCAATGCTTCAGCTGTGCAGTCTGTGGTCACTATCGAAAGAACAGTTTTCTATCGAGAAAGAGCTGCCGGGATGTATTCTGCATTACCTTATGCATTTGCTCAGGTAACAAAAATGACTCACCCGTTCAAACCACCACCTCAATATTAAATCATCACTAGACTCAAAAGCTTAATATGATAGATTAGTATAAGTTTAATCTTTTTAATATATTCTTAAACTCTCACTCACATGGGAGCTACACGCRCTTAGTATATCATGGGTTAAAATACTATTTTGGTTCTTATACTTTCAGTTTTTTTTCATTTTGGTCCTCTACTTTCAAAATTATTATTTTGATCCTTGTACTTTCGTCTGCACTTTTAAAAAGCGATTGTTTTAGTCATTTCATTTTATTTTTTATCTTATTTTCTAGATCACATTTTCAACGCGACACTAAACTCAATATACTTTATATTAAACGGTTTCTATTTTGTATAGATTTTGTTGTCCAAATCTTGCAAASAGAGGCCATGATTGTCACTTTTTAAAAGTACAAAAACTAAAATGAACCAAAGTTGAATATAGAAAAGCCAACATGAACAAAAACTGGAAGTACAATGGCTAAGATAGACATTCTAAAAGTAGAGGTACTAAAATAAACAAAAACTAAAAGTATCGATACCAAAATAATATTTTAACCTATATTATACGAAATGAGAAGAGATGAGAATAACATCGTAAAGGTTTCAACTAAAAGACTCCTACTCTAATACCATGTTAATCATTAGTAGATTATGGATTGTAAAGCTTAAATATATTCAGTTAAGATTCATAAAGCTGTAATGGAAACTGTCTTCAGGCAAGTTTAGCTTTCTGGTGAAATATTATAGAAAAAAGTGAACTAAAGATTAAACCTTTTTTYCCTGCAGGTGGCAATTGAGACAGTTTATGTATCTCTGCAATCTTTAATTTACTGTTTGCTTCTTTATAGCATGATTGGGTTTGAGTGGAAAGTGGGAAAGTTTTTACTGTTCTACTACTTGGTTCTAATGTGTTTCATATACTTCACACTATATGGGATGATGGTTGTAGCATTGACTCCAGGCCTCCACATTGCAGCCGTTGTCATGGCCTTCTTCTTTGGCTTTTGGAACTTGTTCTCGGGTTTTCTTATTCCTCGACCGGTACATGACATCTGAATTCGATACTCCGAACTTCGATTATCTTGAACTTTCTGGAACTCATGGTTAAACCAACTTTTCTGCAGTTGATTCCCATATGGTGGAGATGGTATTATTGGGCTAATCCTGTGGCTTGGACAATATATGGCCTTGTAGCTTCACAAGTTGGTGACAAAGATGTTCATATTCAGAAACCAGGATTYGGAAATGTAGGACTAAAGATGTTCCTTAAAGAAGGGTTCGGGTACGACWACGACTTCATCCCGATCGTGGTCGTAGCACACGTCGTCTGGGTTCTCGCCTTCTTCTTTGTGTTTGCCTATGGCATCAAATTCCTTAACTTCCAGAGGAGATAGGCATGTATCTTCATCTTGTCTTCTGCAGGGTTGTGTAGAATTTATTAGTCATTGCATTAGCTATAGCCTTTGTACCACAGAAATCAATTATCTAAAGAGTAACAAATGAGGAAACAAAATGGTTCCCTCTTTTCAGTATGATGTTCAAGTAAGTTTCATAAAAATTATTTTTACAACACTTAAATTTATGAGCATTTTGAGTGATGTTGGATATGATTTTTGGATACAGTGAATTGTAATATTCACTTAGCACACATATATGTATGTTTTTTTTTTTTTTTTGTAAAATATACTTTTTGGTTTTTGAGTTTGATGATAAGTTTCAATTTGGTTTCTAAATTTTAAAAAGTGACCGCCTGTTCTGGGACCTTTTTTCCTTCCTCTTCACAGTACATTTGTTGAATTAACACTGTAGTAGCGTAGTTATCCTCTGTGGGTATTTGCAGGGTAGGTTGTCCACACCCACACCAGCCAGTCAAAAAAAATTGACCAATTGGTTTATCAATATTTTACCGACTTTTGGAAAAGTCTGCTTCAGAGAATGGTAACAAAGGGTTGGTTCGTCTTTTCTCGACCCAATGGGCTTATTCTAATGGGCTTACTTTGGGCTGCAAGGTGGCCCACTTTGTATCCGAATCTTTAAAAAATAGCATTATCGTGGTGTAGTATTCAAAATATTCTCTTGGCTCTCAAATCCCGAAAATCGTGAAACCTTTTCCCCACGATGCCCATCCATGGTGCAGATCTGCATTTGAGTGAAGGCGAGTCAATTGAAGCGTTGGAAATCAAGCTCGCAAAGTCAATATGGGATTGGAGGGTCAACTGCCAGGAACACCAAAGGGGCTGGGCACTTGAGAAATGGAAAAAAAGAAAATAAAGTTTATGTTGGGTATATATTAAACCTAAGGAATATATGCTGGGTATATGTTAAATCAAACTTTTTATATTTAATTTATTTGTTTAGAATAGTGGACCAATGAACAAACCTCAAATCTTATGCCTATATGTTGGGTATATGTTGAGGTATGAACTTAATATGGATTAGGTTTTGATATATGCCACATATATTTAAAGGTATATAATATATAACCTAATATTTGAGTTCGTACTCTAAAAGCTATATATTATATAATATTTTGAAATAGTATATGTTTGTAATACAGTAAATTAGATGATTGAAAAGAAAAATATATTATTAATTGTCGTTCTATATATCAATAAAAGATATATATTATTTAATAATTTGGAAGAGTATATGTTTGTAGTGAAAACAAAAGGGCTTTGGGTTGGGTTGGATGAGTTATGGAGTTTTTTAGGACTAACTAGAAAACCATAAGAACCAAACTAAATATTCAACCCAGCCCAAAATTTTCGGGTTGGGTCATCGGGTTGGATCTCCTTTTTTTCAAAGAAAACAAGTTATAGGGAGACCAACAACCAACGAGTAAGGATGACAAAAATACCTGCGGGATCCGCGGGTCGAGTCGGAGATTCCCCGATTTGACCGAGTCCCCGACCCCGACCCGTTTAATTTTTTATTACTTTTTTTATTTTTTTATATAATAATATTAATATATATTAATCTTATAAATACTTTTTAATTTAAAAAAAAAACTCAAGCTAATATCCCATTTAGCCACTTTTTTTCTTCAGATTTTATACTAATAATAACAAAAATTAATTTAAAATTTTAAAAATTAAATTAAAAATTAAAAAAAATATATTTAAACCCAACCCTTACAGTTTGGGTTGGGTTGTTTGGATTCATTGTCGGTTTTTTGAACACGCATAGTAACAAATTACCTAAAAATTGCCATATCATTTTTCTATTAGTCACTAACGATTAATTTAATTCAAGGATCATTTTAAACTATTTTTCAAATTTGAGAGATTAAAAATATACCTTTTAAAATTATAGGGATAAATTGGACACCTAATTCAAACTTCAAAGACAAAAACGTATTTTGCTATAAAAAAAAAGTGATGTAGATTTTTTCTTCCCTTTTAAATATCTTTCATAATTGAGAAAGATAGGTTGTTTCTTTTCAACAGTGAAAGTTTGATCTAACTAATTTTATGAAATCCATAAATATAGTCCAAATATAAAGTCAAATAACATTAAATTTGTGCAGTCTATTTATATCTACACTTTGTAACAACAATAAATGTCATATATAATAATGTTGCTCAACTTCCTTTCTGTTCTCTGGTCTACTCACTATATGGTATTGATTAGTTTCATTTTTTTTTTATTTTCTCACATATACCATATTTAATTCGAACTTACGGGAACAAAATTTAATTAAAAAATCTCTAAATTTTGTAGGACATAACAATATTCTAAAATTGTTTTGGTCTATTAGATTTGAAAGTCTATGTCATTTAATCAAATTAAAATGATGTATGGCACGGGTTGACATCTTAAACTTGGGTAGAGTCGGAGGATTTTATAGTCTGGATTTAGATAATCTATGTTTAAGATGAAGAGTCAGTTTGAGTTTGGTTTTGTTTTTTTAACTTTTTTTTGGTGAACTATTTAACTCTTATATAATCTAATTATTATTTATTTATTTATTTATTTATTTATAGATTCATGTTCCTTCAAAAACATTATCCATCTTAATTTAGCTTTATAATTTGAACAGACCATTTTTTAAACCATCTTTAAAATTCATTGCTTATTTAAAATATTTTGACTGAAATGTTGAGTCATAATTTTTCTTTATTTAAAATTTCAGTCAAATTTTAAAAAATGATTTAAAAATTCATTTTTTAAACTATATTAAGCGGAGATTGAACCGTCCACATCAAGAAAGGTAATTAATATTTTTATCTATTAAAATAGGTTCCAACTTCGAAATATAATATTTTCAATGTTAGAAATTATTATGAAAACATTAAATATGACAATCTAACAACTTTGTTGTTGAAGTTCAAACCTGCCAACAACCTTTTCGAACATTTGGAGCTTTCTTATTGATCCACATGTCACATATCATTTAATCCGTTGATGAAACAGTAACACGTGGCAACTGCCTTTTTCTGGGCCAAGTGTGCGTAGCTAGTAGACTATTCGAAAAAAATCGAAATCTCATAATGACTTGACTCAAATGATCAAATATCAAGGTCTATTTTCGTTGGAGTTACCATTCTAAAAAAAGTCTTACAACGTCATTTTTATTTTAATTTTTATTCTATATTGGTCTTTAAAATTATAAATATTATATTTTATCTCGTAAACTTTATATAAAAGATTAATTTAGTATTATCATTTAAAAAATTTATAAATTATAACATAAATAGTGATCTCCACGTGACAACATATAATACATCTTAATATTAAAAAAAAGAACTATTCTAGTTTGTTTCGTTGAACTTTTTATTTAATACTTAGTAAGTTCTTAACATTATTAACTTATGATATTGCAAAATGAAACCAAACAATTTCCAAAAAAATTTAGATGATATTATTTTCTTCCTATCTTACTTTTTAAACACTTAAAAAACTCGAGCATTTTTATAAAATATGCATTACTGTTTAAATAATGGAAATTAATATCTTTTTAATTTATGTGAAAATCGTCTATTTAAATAATCGATGATAGACTTAAATAAGTATTGGTAGGCTATAGTTATAATAATAAATTGATTGTTTCATTCTACTTTATTCTATATTTATAATTCTTAAATTGTTACTTTTGTAATATTTTAATTTTTTTTAATACAACAAATGTGAGATGAGGGATTTTTTTTTATAATCCAGAATCGTCCTCCAATGAGAGGAAAGAGCCTCAACTATGTACCCCATGAGACTCGAATCGAAGAGGGGATATTCCCGTTCAGCCACAAGCTTCCCGTTCACCCACCGGTAGTGTGAGATGGAAGATTGAATCTCCAACCTTTAAGGAATTAGTAAAATGTTTAATTTTAGAGTTATGCTAATATTTTAGCTTGATATATTATAGTAAATTTCATTAGGTAGATTCTACCATAGGTAAATAGTTGGTAATTTTTTTAACGTGTAATTTAATGGGAGGAGGGAATGAGCTATGGAATTACTTTTAAAAATTGTTTACATAGTACATGCTTGAAAGATAACATTTAAAAGGACATTTTGAAATGAAAAGAAGAATAGTAATAATTCATAACACTCTAACATTATTGTTACGACTAGTAGGACCGTTATCTTCGATTAAGCGTTTAAAAGATTCGATGACGTGAAAATCCCAATCAACCTTACTCAACTCGTACGATTTGGGTTGAGTTGATTTCAAATAAATGAAAACTCGATTATATTGGATTTAAGGGTTCACTTAAAATAAATCCAAACTTATTATTAATTTTTAAACCATTTCAATCATTCTTTATTAATTATTTATTCTCCAATAATTTTTTAAATTTTTTAGTGCATTTTTTCACTGTAAATATAAACATTGATTTATGGAGGTTGATTCAATGTTAGAAAATCTGTAAATAAATGTTAAGATAATAGATTTGCCTTTTTCTTTAAGATAAATCTTTATGAAATTTTTAATTATTTTTCTTTGTTTTTTTTAAACCCAACTCTTCCATGTGAGCATTTAATCAAAGAAAAAGAAAGAAAGAAAGAAATTAATAGATCAAGAGATACTGTTGACTTTTAAGTTC